CGCCTAGAAGAATACTAATTGAAGAAGCAGTTTGGCGTGGGCTCTTCAGAACTTTAAGACTAGGGAGAGTTTTGCAAGTGGAGCTAAGGAAATGCCCTTCCTTGGCTGTCCTACTTCGCCTTCCTATTGCTGTGATAAAGCGCTGACCTAAAGTGACTCGGGGAGGAAAGGGTTATTTCAGCCAGCAGTGACAGTCCAGGGTTGAGGGAAGTCAGGGCAGAAACTCAGGCAAGTGCCCACAAGCAGGAACTAGAGGAGAGTTGTTTCCTGGCCTGCTTTCCAGGACTAACTGAGGACTCAAAGGAAGTGTCACCCACAGTGGACTGACCCTCCCACATCAACCACAGATCAAGAAAATACCCCACAGACATGCCCGCTGGAGGCAATTCCTCAATTGCGCTCCCTCTTCCCAGGTAATTCTAGCTTTTGCCAAGTTGACAAACAAAAGAAGGTAGAAATTTATCTAGATAGATGGATGGATGAATGGAGAGAGAGAGAGAGAGAGAGAGAGAGAGAGAGAGAGAGAGAGAGAGAGAGAGAGAGAGAGAGNGGGAGATGGCTCATTGGGTAAAGCCCTTTCCTTGCAAGCATGAGGACTTGAGTTCTTCTGGCCAGAGATATTCCAGGACAGGGCCCAAAGCTACAGAAAAACCTTGTCTCGGAAAGAAAGAAAGAAAGAAAGAAAGAAAGAAAGAAAGAAAGAAAGAAAGAAAGAAAGGAAGGAAGGAAGGAAGGAAGGAAGGAAGGAAGGAAGGAAAGAAAGAAAGAAAGAAAGAAAGAAAGAAAGAAAGAAAGAAAGAAAGAGAAAAGAAAAAAAAGGTGTGTTCACCACCCCCTGGCTGCCAGTCAGGAATTTCTAACAAGACTCTACTTCAAATAATAGTAATAGTAATAATATTAATACAAAGAGATTGTCCTATCTTCCTGCTCCCTCCCCCACTCATCCCACGCATGACAATCTCTATGGCAACACAGAGCGGAAAGGAAAGCTGAGTCATTACTACCTCCAGAGAGGGACTTGAGCACACAGTGATGTGCGCAATGCGGCTGGGGTCAACGTCCCTCTACTGTTGATGCAAGAAGCACAACTCTTACCTCAAAGGGGATTTAAAAATCAGTTATTCTGGAGCCAACTATGAGAGACTATGGCCTGGGAACACAGATTCAGATTGCCCAAAGTTCCATGTTCTGATGCGGTAGCAGTTTCATGAGGTTTTTATAGGAACAGACCAAAGGAGGTCATAAATCAATACACTTCCCAATACACTGGCAGGAACATCAGGTAACCAGGCTACAATAAACCAGAGAAACCTCTGCTCTAGGCCCCAAATGCTAATGACACTTTTAGCTCTGGGGTTGGGAGCTGGAGATCCGTCAGTACATTCCAAAAGGTCTGTCTAATGGGCACAGCGCATTAGGTCACAGGGAAGGGGGCATGAGGTGGCTATTGGGAGATAAAGACAGCCCAAGATAAAATGCAACATCCCAACCACTCCACATCATTAAAATTCTAACAAGTCCATCAGCCTTGGTAGTCGTACCTTCTTCCCAGGAACTTCTGTTCATATTATTCAGTCAGAGTGAAGAAAAAATATACGTGTACTATTATCGATATTACTAAGTAGGGAGACAATACAGTAGCTAAAGTGCTTGCCTCTCAGGCAGGAGGACCTGGGGTAACCCCCAGCACTCAGGTCAAAGAGTTGAGTGTGGCACCACATGCTTGTAATCCCAGTGCTGGAAAAACAGAGCTAGGTGGATCCAGGCCTGGGCTTGTTCAACAGCCAGACTCACCTACTTGGCAAGTTTGAGGCTAGGTAGAGACCCTGTATTTAAAAAAAAAAAAAATCAAATTATACTAAATTTGACATTTGTTTAAAAGTGGACAGATAACACCCTAGGTTGTTATCTGACCTCCACACATACAAGCATATATTCAGTCGCACACCATGAACATGCACGTACAAACACACACAGTTAAGTTCATCATTTTATATTAACTTCAAAATTTAGAAATTTCATCTCCTGTGGTTTACTACATAGGTTGGGGACACAACAATTACAGTCCCTCCTCCCAAATGACTTCCAGTAGTATGGAGATAATCCTTCCTAAAACCACAGAACCTTTAGACAGGGGGAGAACAATCCAGGAAGCGAGAAGATAAATCATGAAGGACCACCCCCCAGGGAGGATGAGAAGAGAGGTCCAGACTCAGGCCAGAGAAGGAAGAGGGCAGATGACCTGTGGCACAGTCCACAGCAAGACTGTCAACATCAACGTTCCGAGGTGAGAAGAGAATGACTTCGAGTCATGATGAGTTTATAATCTCAGAAACCTTCCAAATGAATGACCTAGATTAAGGGAAAAACAGTAAAATTTGAGAATCGTCAGATTAAGGATCCATAAGGAAACTACTTCTTTCCAGTACTAGCGGTTTGCGTCATCTTTCTCTGGGTATGCTTTCTGTTACGTTTGGGGATTAACGCCTCTAACGTTCACTTTTCAGACAAAAGCTGAACGTTTCATGCTAAGTGAAAAAAGCCAGGCATAAGGAGATAAATCCTATAAGATCTTATTGCCATGAGAATCCCTCAGTCTAATTCACAGAAGCAGAAGAGAATGGAGGTTACCAAAAGTGAATTGTTGGGGGAACAAATGTGTTGGTCAAAAAACATAAAGTTCAATTAGATTAGAGGAATAAGTTTAAGACATGTACTGTACATCATGGTGACTCTAATTGATGAGAACATATCTGACTTTAAAATTGCTGTGTAGGTTTTAACTGTTCTCAATACACACATAAAACACAGGTGTGTAAGTGAAGTATAAGTAAAATAGCTTGATTTATAGGTTAAATAGCTTGATATAAAATGCTTATATATCAAAATATTGTCTTATATCTCATAAATATGTGTGGTTGCGTGTCAGTTAACATTTATAATATTTTAATTAAAAAATAAATATTGAAAATATGCTAGTAACATTCAATATTTTTAAAACATAATTATATATTAATATAAGGCAACAAGATCTTTATGCTATTTTCAAAATATAAACATAGAGACAAACCTAGAGAATAGATTTAAGAAATAGAAGCACCTGGGTCGAACACCTTCCATCAATGTTCTCCAGTTCTAACTATGATTTAGTTGAGGAGACCTGTGCTATATCCAAGTGAGCTCCACGCCTGAGGGGACATCTCGGAAGTCCTGGATTTAACATCTTGGGAGTACTGGATTTCCCTCAAGTGTTTAGAAGTTTTGACTCTGTTACATCAGTGCCTCGTCAATCACTATCCCTAGAATTAAGGTACGGGCAGGCCCTAGCGCTGTCCGTCCCAGAGAAGCCCCTTTTCCTGGGGCAAGCTTTAGGGAAGTACATAGAATCTAGACACAGACAGGCCGTGTCACTCCCAAACTGTCCCACCCACAAGAGATGATTTGGGGTAACTAAATTTTCTTCTTCTTTCGTATCCCCTTTGATGCCTTCTCCCTTCCAGATGGCTAACACATGAGCATTTTCCTGTCCCTCAGAAGTACATAGGGCATTCTGACCAGGGAACGCTGTCTCTGGTAGTAAGTGTCTGCTCGGAAATCCTCTACTGAGCAGGTCACATTAAAAGGCTGTTAGTTTATTTGTTCACAAATCTACATAGCCAGCGTGGGTGGCAAGCCTGGTACACTCTTGGGCATCCCACAGAGCTTAGCGTTCTCGGTTGGGTCACAGCTCTGTGACTTACCTGGGTGGGTCATGGCCTTCTAAACTCTCCCTGCCTTGGTTTCCTCATCTTTGAGATGAGGGGAGGTGGTGATAACAGCTCTTTGGTGTGGTCTTTAAATCTGATTATATATGGAGGAGACAGAAGCACCTGAAGCGTCTGGCTGGAGAGGAACCCCTAGGTGTCTGGCCAGTAAGAGGAGCCCTAGAGGACTGTCCTCGATCGTCCCAGCTGCACAGGAGAAGCTTGGTCCTGCTGCCTGACACCAGCAGCCCCAGCAGTTACTTGTCAAATATCAGGCAGGTTAAGTCTATCACTCCTGCCTTACAAGAAGGTAGGTACTTAAAATTATCCATATCTTTTGGAGTTAGGCGGCCATTTTCTACTCAAATTAAAAGTGAATTCTTCCTACAGTCTTACCTGCTGGATCAAATAAAATGAAGACAACACAGATTTGCACTTCTTATAAAACGTTCTGTTAAATATTTACTGAAAACCTACAGGCCCATAACATTATAAAGCACACTGATGAAGGGCCTCCTACAAAATTTTGGTTATTAGAGATTCATGCAAGGCTTTGTTTTAGATTTAGGGCTTTCTACAATATTAAATATGTATCAGCTTAGATAAATAAAATCAATAACCATAATTTTTATGAGAAACTGCTTAGAGAATACATGCTTATTATTTTCCTCTGGCTGTTCTTATTAATTACAATGTTTTTGTTGAACCTCAACAGGTGGTGCTTATAATATGCTGTCACACCCAGGGGAGGCACAGTAAACTCCTTCTTGAAGAAGTAGACTGGCCTTGGCAAGATGGTGACCCTGAAGGAAACCTATCAACCCAATATAAACAGGAGGCGACAACTTGCTGCACAGACTGGTTTCAAGGAGATAGACTGTTCCCGATTCCAAGTTCACAGTTCCCAAATCCGCTGCTAACTTGCAACTTCAAGTCACTGTAAAATAGGGAGCTAACCACACTCACTCTGCTGGGATGGTAAGCATGATCAAGCCAGGTGTGGTCAACATCCGGCAGATACTCAGTTTGCCGTGGGCTCCTTTTCCTTGCTTGGACTTCACCGCCTGCCATGTGTACTCAGCTCTGCAGAGAACACAAAGACCAGTTCCTGCCAACTGTCAGACATTGTCAAACATTGGGCAAAATCTTTATTTACTTTGTTACTTAAGCAACTTGGTGCCGTAGATTTCTTAATCCTTTCTTCAAAGAAGGGAACTGAGACTTAGGTGGTTTTTGTGTAGTTTCACAAACCAAGAAAGTACAGGGTAGAGCCCTAGAAGAGTCTCAGCTGGTGGCTGGTGTTGCATTCAAGAAGACTTTCTCTTATGCTGGGTTTGAAATGCAGCCCAAAAAGTATAAGAACCCCAAGATTGCCCTCTTAAATGTTGAGCTCGAGTTGAAAGCAGAGTAAGATAATGCTGAAATCAGAGTTCACACAGTGGAGGATTACCAGGCAATTGTTGATGCTGAGTGGAACATTCTCTATGACAAGTTAGAGAAGATCCATCAGTCTGGAGCCAAAGTCATCTTGTCCAAACTCCCCATTGGGGATGTGGCCACCCAGTACTTTGCTGATAGGGACATGTTCTGTGCTGGCCGCGTGCCTGAGGAGGATCTGAAGAGAACAATGATGGCCTGTGGAGGCTCAATCCAGACCAGTGTGAATGCTTTGGTGCCAGATGTGCTGGGCCACTGCCAGGTGTTTGAAGAGACCCAAATTGGAGGCGAGAGATATAATTTCTTCACTGGCTGCCCTAAGGCCAAGACATGTACCATCATCCTCCGTGGTGGCGCTGAGCAGTTTATGGAAGAGACAGAATGGTCCCTGCATGATGCTATCATGATCGTGAGGAGGGCCATCAAGAATGACTCTGTGGTGGCTGGTGGTGGAGCCATCGAAATGGAGCTCTCCAAATATCTGCGGGATTACTAGAGGACCAATCCAGGGAAACAGCAGCTGTTGATTGGGGCATATGCCAAGGCTCTGGAAATTATTCCACAACAGCTATGTGACAACGCTGGCTTTGAAAAAATAAGGAAAAGGTGCTGTTTTCAACCAAGCTCTTGTAACAGACTAACCCGGAAAACTCATAAACGTGATAAGTTCATTTCCCTGTTTGGGAGTCTGAGAGCATGGCTCTGGCCTTTTGGATGTCTGGTGACAGCCTGGCTCATGGTGGTCGTCCTACTGTGTCTCTGCACAGTAGAGAGGATGAGGAACTGTGTGGGGTCTCTTTAATAAGGGGTCAATCTACTGACAAGACCTCCACTCTCAAGCACTGCGTGCCTCCCGGAGGCGCAGTTCTAAGAACCATCAGGTTGAAAGTTAAGTTTCAACCTATGATTGGAGCGGAGAGGCACAAGCATTCTCTCTATTGTCTATTTATATTTAAATGTCTCCATAACTATGTATTTACCTAACACATATAAGCCAAATAAATTCTATTGAAATATTTATGAGCTCCAGTGTTGGTCAGAGTATGACTCCCATAAAATTAATAACTATAAAAACATGGAATTTGTATGCTTTTTAACCCAAGAGCTATATCTGATCCCCTACATCTATTGGGAAAAATACGACAGGATGAAAGTCCCATGATAGGGAGCTGGAAAGACAACTCAGTAGTTGAGAGAGTTGAGCTCTTGCAGATGACCTAGGGTCAGTTCCCAGTACCCATTGGGAGGCTCACAACCACCTAAAACTCCAGCTCCAGGAAATCAAATGCCCCTGTTCTAGCCTCTGTGGGCACCTATAGGCACATGGTACACACCCATACACTCCAGGTATACAAACATAAAATAAAATAAATCTAAACAAAATGTTTACTATATCATGAGATTCATTACAATGAATTATAGCATCTTTTGATTATGACACAAAAGCCTTTCAGCATGGAACTAAACAGACCATGTAATGCAGATAATAAGATGCAGTCGAACCTTTAAAAGAAATATATAGCTGTACAAGAAAGCATTATCCAAGATATATATCTCCTGTGCAATTGTAATCTTACATTGAACAGAAAATATCTCTATAGGTAGGCAGTTTCTAAGAGGAAAGGGGGTTTATCTGTCAGATGAAAAGGAGAATTGCTTAGGACAATGTGAAAAGACGAGAAAATTTACCAGGGTAGAATGACGGTTGACTAGGCAACCACGGTGGAAATACCCACAGTTGTGGCTTCAGACCCCTACCTGTGGAATGACCCCCTGGAACTACCCAAGATCTCCACCAACTGTCCCCAGACTGCAGCCAAGGGGAAACTTCTCTTATGAGACTCTGACTTAGGTCTCGGACTCTGGTTCACTGAGCCTGATAAATTCCAGATGCCCACTGAACTGGGAAGAGCTGAAGTGCCATGTCCACTTTAGTGCCTAGATACTTTGTTTTACTTTCTTTCTTACAAGGTTTTTCAGAGAATTGAACTTTGATCATTTTATGCAGCTCTTTAGTCCTGGCATGAAGAAACTAAGAATCAGAAATTGTTTCAAACTTACTTGCCAATGCAAATTTTTTTTTCACTTTTTGTTGTAATTGTTGTTTTTTTATTTGGGTCTTTCTTTCTTTCTTTCTTTCTTTCTTTCTTTCTTTCTTTCTTTCTTTCTGAGACAAGTTTCTCTTTGTAGCCTTGGTTGTCCTTGAACTCTCAGAGATCAGCTTGCCTCTGCCTTTTAAATGCTGGGATTAAAGGTGTGTGTGTGTGTGTGTGTGTGTGTGTGCCACCACCTTTTAAAGGCTTGGCTTAGGTTCCTGCGACGTGGCACACCAAGAAGGTCGGGATTGTCGGGAAATAAGGGACCCGCTATGGTGCCTCCCTCCAGAAAATGGTGAAGAAAATTGAAATCAGCCAGCACGCCAAGTACACGTGCTCCTTCTGTGGCAAGACCAAGATGAAGAGACAACCTGTCGGCATCTGGCACTGTGGTTCCTACATGAAAACAGTGGCTGGCATGGCCTGGACCTACAACACGACTTCTGTAGTCACAGTGAAGTCTGCCATCAGAAGACTGAAGGAACTGAAAGACCAGTAAAAGTGCTACCATTTGATACCCTTCTCAATAGGGCACAGCCAACTAAATAAATGGGTTAATTTACATGACAAAAAAACTATTTTAAATTAATGAATGTGATATACCTGTCTGTAGGCATGCTCTTGTGCACACATGGAGGCCACGTGTCTATCACACTCCACCTACTCTTCTGAACCAAAGCAAATTTCATTGGCTGTAAGTCCCAGGGATTCCCCTGTGTCAGAGCTGAGTTTACAGGCCTGTAGGATGCTCATCTTGTTAAATGGGCGCTGGGATCTGAACTTGGTTGCACAGTAAGTATTCTCAACTGCTGAGTCATCTCTCCAATCCATTTTTTTTTAAAAAAACAAACATTTATTTAACTTTATTTTATATGCATTGGCATCAGATCTCCTGGAACTGGAGTTATAGACAGGTATGAACTATCATATGAGTGCTGGGAATTGAACCCCGGGTCCTCTGGAAGAGCAGCCAATGCTCTCAACAACTGGGCCATCTCTCCAGACTTCTTTTTTTTTTTTAATTTACTATTAGTAGATTGTTTCTTTATAGGATATTTAATTGTTTTTGTTTTGTTTTTCAAGACAGGGTTTCTCTGTAGCTTTGGAGCCTATCCTGAAACTACTTGCTCTGTAGACTAGGCTGGCCTCAAACTCACAGAGATCCGCATGTTTCTGTCTCTGGGATTAAAGGTGTGCGCCACCACCACCCAGCAGGATATCTAATTTTTAAGCACATTGTTTGGTAGGCCTCTAACTGGTACCGAGGAAGGGTCCATTCACCACTTCTTTGCAGTATCTAAATTTTTTAAAATATCTAAATTATTTTGCAATTACAGATACAATCGTATTTGAAAAGAGCTTGTGTTCCTGGAAAGGAAAACATTTACAACCATAGCTTGAGAATTTGGCTAACTAAATCCTAGAAGAGATCCACTGGATTACTTAAAATGTCTCCTCCCACATGTAACTAAGACAAACAGAACAAAAAAACCCTTATACAACTCTGTATTTGCTACTGATGAAGAAAACACAGCCTATTTACTAGTAAAGAACTATGCAAGGTGCTAGGGGAATAGGCGGATCAGTAGTCCTCAAGATGTTTCCATGAGGAGATCAGTTGCATCCCCAGAAGCCATTTTTAAAAAAAAAAATCAAATGTGATAGCATAGACTTGTGATCCCAGCACTGGGAAGGCAGCAACCGAGGGCTCCCTGGAGCCCACTGTCCATCCAGCCAACCTAGCCTAATCAGCCAGAGAGAGACCTTTTCCTAAAATCAAGGTAGACAGCTCCCCAAGGTTGGCCTCTGGCCCTCACACACGTGCACACACGTGGACATACACTCACAAGAATTTTGTGAGCAACGACTTGAACCAAAAAATGCATAAGAAATTCTTAAGTTTCCCCCTCACCAAACCCATGTCTAGAAAGCATCACGGGGAAATGACTTGAACAGAGAACACACTAGAAAGAAAATGGACTCTGGAGTCAGGTAGGCCAGGGTGTAAGAGGCAATATGACTGTCACCATAAGGCACAGGAAGCAATACCTGCTTCACAAATCTATTTAAGAATGGGCCATAGACCTACTAAAGCTGAGAAGCTTCTGTAAAGCAAAGGACACTGTCATTAAGACAAAAAGGCAACCTACTGACTGGGAGAAGATCTTCACCAACCCCGCAACAGACAAAGGTCTGATCTCCAAAATATATAGAGAACTCAAGAAACTAGACTTTAAAATGCTAATTAACCCAATTAAAAAATGGGGCACTGAACTGAACAGAGAATTCTCAAAAGAAGAAGTTCAAATGGCCAAAAGACACCTAAGGTCATGCTCAACCTCATTAGCAATCAGGGAAATGCAAATCAAAACAACTTTGAGATATCATCTCACACCTGTCAGAATGGCTAAAATCAAAAGCACCGATGATAGCCTTTGCTGGAGAGGCTGTGGAGGAAGGGGTACCCTCATCCATTGCTGGTGGGAATGCAATCTTGTGCAACCACTTTGGAAATCAGTGTTTCGGTTTCTCAGGAAATTCGGGATCAACCTACCCCTGGACCCAGCAATACCACTCTTGGGAATATACCCAAGAGATGCCCTATCATATGACAAAAGCATTTGTTCAACTATGTTCATAGCAGCATTATTTGTAATAGCCAGAACCTGGAAACAACCTAGATGCCCTTCAATGGAAGAATGGATGAAGAAAGTGTGGAATATATACACATTAGAGTATTATGCTGCGGTAAAAAACAATGACTTCTCGAATTTTGCATGCAAATGGATGGAAATAGAAAACACTATCCTGAGCGAGGTAACCCAGACCCAAAAAGATGAACATGGGATGTATTCACTCATAATTGGTTTCTAGCCATAAATAAAGGTCACGGAGTGTATACCTGGTGAACCTAAAGAAGCTAAAGAAGAAGGTGAACCCAAGAAAAAACATATAGTTATCCTCTTGCCTAAGGGAAGTAGATAAAATTGCCGGGGACAAAATTGGGATCTTGGGGGTGGGGTGGGTTGGGGATAAGGGGGGACAGGGAGAGAAAAGTAAGAAGGGGAGGATTGGGGGAACTTGAGGAAACAGGAAGATTGGGATAAAGGAAGGTTGGATAGGGGAGCAGGGAAGCACATATCTTAGTTAAAAGAGCCACCTTAGTGTTGGCAAGAGACTTGAACCTAGAGTGGCTCCCAGGAGCCCAAGGCGATGTCCCCAGTTAGTCCCTTGGGAAGCTGAGGATAGGGAACCTGAACTGACCCTATCCTATAGCATTACTGACGAATATCTTTCATATCACCATAGAACCTTCATCTGGTGATGGATGGAGATAGAGACAGAGACCCACACTGGAGCACTGGACTGAGCTCCCAAGGTCCCAATGAGAAGCAGATGGAGGGAGAACACGAGCAAGGATGTCAGGACCACGGGGGGTGCACCCACCCACTGAGACAGTGGGGCTGATCTA